ATTTTACCTGTCATTTACTTGTGAAGATGAGTTTGTAAATTAGATAAATCTTATTCCTTTAAATATTTCTTAGTGTAGACTGAATTGTTTAGTTTAATCTTCTGATGCAGACTAAAGAGGTACTGTTGTGTTTCAGGTCTATGTGAATTGAGTGGATTCGGGGATCTGAGAGGAGCTTAAGGAGAATTATAAGAAGTAAAGTATGCATTCTTTTGTGGCTTATCAAAGATGGCAGAAACAAAGCCGTAATCTTATAAAATCCACCAAGAAGAAACCTAAAATGTCTCCCGGTCTTCTCTGCCTACCTTCTTCCTGGTCACTGCTATGAGAATATGCTGACCTAAATCCAATAGAAAATCTATTGCTTGTCTTGAAATTTTATTTCTAGAGATGCTCTCAATCCAATCTGGCTGAGCTGAAAAATGTAGTAAGAAGAATGAGCTGAATGAGCATTAGAGCAAATAAGAATAAGGAAGTGGTGTGTTATAGTTCCTGCATCGTTTATCTATGGGTGCAAGTCATGAGGTCAAAAGTCTTGTGTGAGCAACTCAGAGTACTGCTGAAGATGAAGACAATACTTGCTGTTTTCTGTAAGTACATTGACAGCAGATAGAATCAAAATACAGATTTTAATTATTTTTGCACAATGAACATTGATATGACTCTTCACTTATTGTCTTCAAGATATTTTGCTAAACCAGGTCATTGGCCAGACAGAAGGTGAGCGCAATCTATGAAAGTACTTTGCAAAACAAGGTGTATTTTAAGATGTTATGTTGCTACATTTATTTGTGTGTCTTTTGTGTAGACATGGATCCTGCAAATATTCTGGTCCAACAAAGATCTGTAAGCGAGGGCAGTGACCTTAATGTAAGATGCGTCCTGTTCGGGAAAAAGAAGTACCCCTCTTTTTATGTTTATTTACTGAAAGATGGACAAGGACTTCAGAAATCGAAACAGACGCAAACTTTGGATGAGGTTCTTTTCACAATATTTAATATTCATCTTGATCACAGTGGAAATTACAGCTGCTGGTACTCCGCTAAAAATTACAGCCTCTCTGATGTAGAAAAGAAAGGAAAGGATGAAGTTCAGATCCTGGTTATAGGTGAGTATATTTTTATTCTTTTTAATCCCACATGCAGCTGTTTTATTTATTATTTTTTCCAACTGCTATGCAGCCAATTTCATCCCAGCAGAGCTCTCCGTGACTGGACCCGTCACAGTTCATGAGGGAAGCCACGTTGAGTTCAAATGCACCTTTTCAGAAATTCTGCACACTCTCAATAACTGTCGATTCATCTACTGTTGCCTGAAGAAGAATGAGACCATCCTTCAAATACAAGTATTTGATCTTACTCAGATGGAAGCCTCTTTTAGCATTGAAGGTGTCGTTTCAAGGGATTCGGGTCCCTATAGTTGCCTTTTGCTGCCATCAAAGTGCTTCCAGAAACAATGGAACGAGCTGCAAGGAATAAATACGGTGATTCTGGAAGTCAAAGGTGGGAATTTTTCCACAATGTATTTTACTTTCCAAAATTTTTCTCTTGAAACATCGCTGAAAATTTATGTCAATACATTTCATTTGTATTTCAGAGGATTTGATCCCGTTGGCGGCTTTGTCTTGTGGATTTACAGTCCTTATGTTGCTTTTCAGTCTGTGTCTGGGATGGTTCATTTACAAAAAATGCTTCAAACTTTTGTACAAGCCATGGTGAGCCTTTGTTTAGTTGCACTTCCTGTTGGCAGACGGGCAGACAGAGATCGAAAACAATGTAAATGTAACACATAAGGAAGGGTTTGCTTTCTGTTTGAATTCTGTGTTTTCTCATTTTGATAGTGAGCAACTGAATACAAATGTGTTGGCACCAACAGATGTGGAACCGCAAGAGGGTATGTTTTGGTTAGAATCACCGAAAAGATATTCTTTAGAAAATCTGTTTTTTAAGAGGTTCATATTGATTTGACAGGGAAAATATTCTCACTCATCGGCTTCAATATAAATACTTTTTATTTCATAAACAGAGGAAATGTATTTTTTTCTCTCTCAAAGTTTATAATGATGAAGGCAACACCTGTTGAATTAATTGTAAATATTTCTAAACTTCCATAATTGTCTTGTGCTTTAAAGTTCTTCAAGATGTTTTTTTTTTATCATAAAAAGCACAAATACAAAATTCCATTGACATTACTGATAGTTGGCTATTTGTAGTTTTTTTTTCTAATTTAATAATCTTCTTTCAAGGATCAGAAGAAGATAATTCTTTCAGCATGGAAAGTGAAGAAGAGTAAGTTTGCAAATATGTCATTATAAGATCTGTTATCAATTTGTTCATATATTTATATGTTTGATTAATAAAAATCTGATATATGTAACGTGCAGGTATTTGCAGACCTCTTCACTTTGATTATCGTAAAATCCTGTCCAAACCATCAGCTTATGTAAATATTCTTATGTTAGAACCAACGTCCAGTCAAAGTCCAATTGTTAATTTGTGGGTTAAAACTGATATTGAGTTGTTTTACAAAGACAAACTGGCAAGAATGTGATTTTCTATCAATTTAAAGTTGATACCCCTAAAACTTGCTGTGACTTCAGTGGAATGTGGTTCTGAAAAGCACCGATTCAGTAATTTTCTGATGTTTACTTGTAACAAAAACTAAAAATCATGGATAATTTTTCTTCCACCTCACAGTTATTCTCTTGTTTGTGTTTGTTGCTGTTGTTCTCCATTCTGCTTCTCCTTCCAAGCAGTTGCTACAGCACAGCAGCCTCCCCAGATCCACAACTGCATACAGATGGACTTGGCACGAGTTTTGTACGACACGAGAGGGTTTCAAACGAGGACCAACTTACAGGGCAACTTGCTGTCGCATCTGAGCCATTGACAACCTCTATAAGGTTTGTGACGTGACTGAAATGTGAAAATGTTAAAGGACAATAAATGTTTTTAGCAACATACTGCAGTTATTTATTTATTTTTCTGGAATAAAAGTTGTGTCTAGCATTTAACCTGACATCATCTTTTATTAGAAATCAACAGCATTTTGAGACAAGTGGTGTCATCTATTACTCAAGTGAGAAAATTTACAGCGTTATTCCAGGTAGGATATCATCATTTACTTTCAGTCTGTAAAAATATTATAATGAGTTAGACGTAATAAACATCAGAACATGATTTTAATAACTTTCTTCTTCAAAAAATATTCATTACAAATTGAATAAGTAATTATTACTAGTATTATTGCAAAAAAATTTTAAACTCCATGTATGGTCCTTGTGTGGTCCTTGTGTTCAATATGTGCAAAATATTTCAAAGACATGCTTAAATTGCCTTTTAAGCGTGTCTTAGAAAATAACTGCGAATATGAAAGTGCTAAACAAAGAAGCACAGATACATCTAGACAGCTTCCTGTTTCTTTCACCGCAGATGATTCATTCGCTGGACCAAATACTTCATCAGTGCTGTACATCAATTCTGTCAAAAAGCAATAAAAGTCATCATCAAAGTCACCAGAACAAGACTACACCTGAATGTGATGCATAAATCCATTACATGCATGTATTTTGTTTATTTCAGTTTTGTGCTATTCCAGGACAATGCACCGGTGTTGACCTGATAGATTTACCCACAAAGAGAGTGCATTTTTCATACAACTTGAACTTTTCACATTTTATCACATAATTTGAAATGACTTTGAAAACATAAAGTAAAATTAAAATTACATTTTCTTTTATATGTGTTGCATAGATTTGTATTGGTTTTTCTCTACCAGTATTAACTTTGTGCCAGTTCATTGTAAAACAACAAGAACTCTGTCAAGCTTGGTAGTGACTGTGAAAATCAATTTTCATGCTGTACCATAGATTCAAAATTAGACTTATGTCTGCACTTTGACTGGGTCATTTTAACATATGTTTAGTGTTATCGTGATGGAAGGTGAAACTTGATCTAAAATCTATTACAGGCTGTAAAACGTAGCCAAGAAGTTTTGGCATGGAAGTCAAATTCACTGTGAACTTCTCCCGCTTACACTGAATGGTTAAATGGTAAATGGACTGAACTTATATAACGCTTTTCCAGTCATTTTGACCACTCAAAGAGCTTTACACTAGAGTCATATTCACCCATTCACACACAAATTCATACACCAATACGCAGACCAATAGGCAATTTGGGGTTAAGTGCCTTGCCCAGAGGCACATCGACATGTGGCAGGAGGAAGCTGGAATCGAACATACCGATTGCAAGACGACTACTCTGCCAGACAGCCACATCGCCGCAGAAGTGAAACTACACACAAGTGGACTGTGCTAACTCATTACATAACATCATGATCAAGTTGGTTGCACTGTTTTTTATGTAGCTTTAACAGAGTGAAGGAGACTGCACACAAAGACACATTCGCAGGACCAAGGAGATATGGTCTTTTATCTCCTTGTTCATCGATATACACTGTATGTTCTACTGCATAAAATTCCAGTGAAATACATAGAAGTCTGTTGATTTATCATGACAAAATGTGAAAAGTTGTATGAAAACTTTTGAATTAGGTTGCAAATTCTACTATTTTGGGTTGGTTTCTTGTTGCTTTTGATTTGTCTATTGGAGAGTACTTATGTGTACTTTGTGAAGCATTTTGGGCTCAACTAGATATGTGTTTAATTGATTTAATTTTACCAATGTGTTTCACTTTTTGCCCTGTAAATACTGAATGTTTATGGCAATACTGTTTTGGTTAATACACTTATGGCTGCAATGTTCACTATGTCCACTTGATTTCTGTAAAGTGAATAAGAAAATGTCTATTAAATTCTTTGAAAAAGTCCACTTTGGAGCCAGCAATGTGAAAATAAATACATTTACAAACATTAGTTTGTAAACGAAACCCGGGGAATTGCATTTTTCAAGACTAACCAGTAGATGTCGCTATTAACCTGAACTCTTAAATGACTTACTCTGAAATGCAATATTAAATATGATTCATGTAATTCCCTCTTAAGACAAAAGGCATTTATTGCTGGTTGTTGCATACTTTGTTTTTATCGCATGAGTAAAACAAATGAGTAATCTTGCACCTGACATGTAACAGTGCAGAATGACTTACAGGAATTACTTACTTCCCTTAAAGACTTAAGTGAAACAAGAGATTTAAATCATACACAGCATTCAGTCAACGTGTGGTCAGTTTAAATGAATAAAATACAGATAGGAGGAAAAAAAATCTAGAGTTAAATAAAGTAAATTATGATTAAAAAAAACACTGAGCTTGTCACTTTTTCTTCATTTGATTAGTTTTTCCTGTCAGGCATTTTGCAAGACAGAGCAATCTGAAAGTCGTGATCATTGAAAATGTAATCACTGCAACAACAAGTATGAAGAACAGGAAAACATCTACAGAGTAGTAGGAATACCAAGGCAGTCTGTGGGACTCGGTTCTCAGATGAGCTGCACCTTGGTGTCTTATTGCAAATTCTATCCAGAAGAGGGCGGTATCGATTGGCTTCAGTGGCTGATCCTTGTGCAATCTAGAGAGTCTCTGCATGTTAATCCTGTAGGATGGTTCAGACAGTACCTCTTTGATAGTTTTCAGAAATGTGTCCTCTTTGTCTACAGTTGCTAGGGTAAGAATCTTAGCTGCTCCTCTGGCTTGCAGTCGGAGAAGATTGTCATATTGGTCATAAAACACAGGTAAACCCACTACTGGTACTCCATGATAAATGGCCTCTTGGACTCCATTTGTTCCTCCGTGAGCCACAAATAGTTTCACCTTTGGATGTCCTAAAAGGTCTTTTTGTGGCATCCAGTTAACCAGTAAAGTGTTTTTTCCCACACTGGCCGGTTTGCTACCTTTATAGCTCCAGATTACTTTCTGAGGTAACTGACTAAAAGCTTGAGCAATTTTGTTTGTCACATCTAAAGGGAGCTCACTAACAAAAGTCCCAAGAGACATGATGATGACGCCATGCTGTCCAGAGCTCTGAACAAACTCCTCCAGGTTCTTAGGAAGAGGTTTAGCTGGTTCACACTGAAAGCCCCCGATGTAGATGACATTTGGCATGGTAGGACGGGGGAACTCAAAAACAAAGTCCACTCTCATGAGCCACAGGTCTGCTCCCCGCAACAAGTCACTGTATCTAACATCTGAGCCAAAGAATTGATTACAGATGGCTTGATACTGGGGACGGATCAGAAAGGTGTCCTGAACTTCCCAGATGGTGTAGAAAAGGAGATTTTTGACTCTCTGTATAAAGGTCATTTTGTCTGTCAGTCCTGAGCCCGTCATTGGGATGTAAGATAAAGGAGAAGGTGCAAGGGCAAAGTGTCCCTCCCCACTGGTAACCCATCTCACATTATAGACTAGAGGGAGTTTAAGAGCATGGGCTAACATTATTCCAGCTCCCCATGCAGGATCAGTCATTAGCAGGTTATACTTTTTTGCCTTTAAACCATTCATAAACTTTTTATCCTCCAACATTGTGCTGGCCATCTTGCACATCATTCCGTGCATGTCGAACATAGCTTTAAACATTTCAACCTGCAAACTCATGAAGCTCATGACAGAGCTCTCTCCTCTCTCTAATGCAAAAATTTTTCTAAGGATTGGGTTGATGAAATCATGATTGAAAGCTCTGGCAACAGGAACCGTGATGGTTTTGTAGTATGGAGAGTCGTCCTTGATGTACCAGCTTTTATTGGTCCTTATTACATCAACAGAGTGCCCACGGGAGTGGAGAGCTTGAATCATAATGTCCATATTCACCCAGTGGCTGCCTTCCAAAGGAATAATCAAAATCCTGCCACCATGACCAACTCTCCATGAAAGGAATACTGCGAATACTAGGAAAAGATATGCTGTGGCTTTCCCCCTGGATTTCATCTTTAGCCTAAAAGAAAAAAAATATATAATTTCACAAACTAGCTAAGACATGTTGTTTTATATAGAAAATAGAAAACAAAATCCATTACATACCTGCTTTGAATGAAGTAGGTAAAGTGAGATATTTGGTTTTCTGTATGAAACATCTTATGTTCTGTGCAAGTAATGCAATTGAAAAACGTGTATAAAGCGATTATGGATTAGCTTACTTTAGTGAGGGAGGCTGTTCAGTAAAAATAAGTGGTCTCTTTGTTCTGCATTGTGCAACAAGTCTGCTCTGAAATCAAGGTTGTTCTTACAATCTGAGATTCCTTTTTTGATTGAACTTTTCTTTACCTTTACAATTATTGTCATCTTTAGCGTATTAGCAGACCATTGTTGGCATGGTTTGCAATGTGACAACAGCTGGAAAAACAATAAAAAGTAGCTCATGTGCATGTTTTTTTTATAGTTTATGCACACAAACATAAACTTTCTTAATTGTTTTCTGAATGATCAATCCTATGTCAGAATTTCTAAATAGCACTGTACAATCCTGATCAAAGACTAAAGGATATGTATTAAAATAAAAGGCTAGGTTTGTGTATATTTGATTTTTTAATTTTGACTTCTTTGTTTTGGAAAATCATGCTTTCATGAAAAAAGAACAGTTCAAATGCATTAATTACACCCAAAAATGTTATATATATATATAGCCAGACTAAGAGTCAGCTCCAGTGACTGGGACGCCATAGTCTCATGTGTTCTGACCTTCATCTAGAATCATGAGATATACAGTAAATCATGACCAGAAGAACAGGATTCTGAATCCTGTTCAAATGAGCATCCTCTACGGTGTAGCTGAGCTAACTCTTGTCTTCACTTCTCCTGTCTTCATGACCTTCTGATTTTGTAGTTTTAATTGATCAATATTTTGTCTTTTGGAAAATTGTCTTATTTTTCTGCCTTTCATAACAGAAAAATACTGTGTAAGGCATTTTGCTCTTTTTTTAACCTTATACAAGAGAATATTTTATCATATAGGTGTGTGGCCATGAATGATCCAGTAAAAAACCCACACATCCTCTTAACAATGTGACCAAATATTTGTGCTGCAGAATTTGATCTTGCCTATGTGCCTGTAATAAAGCTATTGTGACACAGTTTGGTGTGACAAATTAGTTGTTTTCTCAACTAATTTCCTGACAATTGGTATGCTGTTACTATGGCTCTTTTACAGCCTGTTCAAAGAATGCAGAGTCTGGATGAAAGGAGAGCTGTGAATTTTAAATACTGACAAGAAAGACTATTCTTAGTGTGTAAGTAGATTCCAGTTAACAGAACATTTGTTCTATATGTTAAGCTAAAACTCAAATGACTGAATTCCTCATAAGTCCTTCAGCTCTGCAGAGGCCTTTACAAAACATACAAGACATGTCGCTGAAACTAGTGAGTTTCAGGGTAGTAGTGTAACCGGGTTCTGCTTCACTCCACTATACCAGGCCGACACAAGTTTCTGGGTGAACAGGCAGTTTATTTCCTGAATGAGAACAAATCGTGTTGGAATCAATGCAATGGCTCAGCTTCCCTCAGCACACTCTCGTGCAGCTTCCATAGACTGGCACTGATTACAGTAAAACATTAATATTTTCATCATTCAATGAAAAATACAATAATAATTGATGTACCTGAATGAGAACAAATTGGGTTGGAATCAATGCAATGGCTCAGCTTCCCTCAGCACACTACAACAGAGCGTCATGTTACCGGTAGCTTTAACTTAACACAGAAAGTGTTTCACAATATTAACAAAACTAAATGTACAAAATTGGTGCCAGGCACACAAATTGTAAATAGTAGTCGCACACTATTGGTGTAAGTTATTAAAAATGATATTTTATGTGTTTCTAACACTTTTCCGTGCTGTGTGTTGAGGAATGAAACTCACCTCTCGTGCAGCTTCCATAGACTGGCACTGATTACAGGGGCCAGCAACATATAACCAGCCACACAGAGAGGAGGGCGCTATTTCCCATTGCACTGATAATATAAAGCAAGTGGAATTCTACAACATAAACTCTGTTACAGTAGCTCTCCAATACTTTGGTTGGGCAGCCCAAAGACCAAAATCATGCCTGAAATTTGTTTTTACTACAACATGTGACCCACGCTTAGAAGGAATTTAAGATGTTTTCTCTGGAAGGAAACAGATTGCAGGGGAACTTTAAGCCCTTCCAAGAAAATCTGCAGGGAGTCAGCAAACAGGCTCTTATGTTTAGCTCAGAAAATGTTTTCCAGAATGCCTCTTTTTAGAAAGCTTATGATAAAAAGAAAAAGCGTTTTACTGCTGAAATTATGCAACAGAATTACAAGTGTCCTAATGCAAAATATTCTGCAGATCTACGCATTAAGAAAAATGCAAAATAGAACAAAATGAAACAAAAAGAAAGCCATATTAATGACATGCTTTTACTCAAAGGACATGTTCTTCCTGCATTATGTTGTCCTGTCCATTACTATGACAGTTGTCATGATTTAAACTACTAGAATATGTATCTATGTTTTCTTTTGTTGCTTTTCCTGTCCAGCTGCTCTTTAGAAACAAGTTTAGAATAATAGTACAAATAATACCATAAAATGCACATGTCCAGTCATAACTGTGTTCAGAATTGCAGCATTATTTCTGGCACAATTGAATCTCAGAAATCAAATGCAAAGATATGTTGTGACTAGTCTGCACTGTCATTAAAATGTCTCAGATGGTCTGAAGATCAGTTAATGTGCTTTTCTTTCATTTCCCATTGTGATTAAAGACGTTTCTAGAGAGTACTGCCGGGATGAGTCGGGACAATGATGCTGGCCCATTTGTGAATGACTGGGATGAAAAGGAGAGCAGATCCAAGAACTGACACCAGAAGGAAGGCCCACAGAAACATTCGATCCAGGACCTGAGCGGCAAACTTCCAGTCTCGCACCACCTGTAGGAAAAAAGAAGCACAAATCAACCTCTAAGAATATTACCAATAGCTTAGTGATGAGGAATTTTGGAACTGACTAATGATTGTTATTCTTTTTGAGCATTTTATGAGAAATGTTGAAAAAGGTCAAACTCACCTCTCTGACCTGGTTTTCTTTAACCACGTGCATGGTAATGTAGCGAATAGATTCCAAAGCTGCTTTGAGGTTGTGCTGGGTGTAGAGAAGTGGAGTGAGCTCAGGAGTTGGATTTTTTATATTTCCTAATCCAATATTTCTTTCTGATTCAGGCACTCTGGCTGCAGCGTACCGGTCCACATGGCTGCGCATGCATAGCAGCTTAGGTAGCCGATGTAGGAAAATCTTTCTCACCCACGGTGCCATGCCATGATGTGTTGATGAGGAGCGATGGTGGATGTTGATGGCAAAGACGGTGATGACGATTGAGAGTGTGACAAAGATCATGGTAAAGACCAGGTATTCCCCAATAAGAGGGATTGCCTTGGAAGACGAAGGGATGATCTCTTCAATGACCAAGAGGAAGACTGTGAGTGACACCAGCACAGAGGTGCAGAGAGAGATCTTTTCACCACCGTTTGAGGGCAGATAGAAGACAAGGATGGTAAGAAAGGACAAGCCGATGCAAGGGATGATGAGGAAGAGAGTGTAGAAAAGAGGCAGCCTACGGATAATAAAGAAATAGGTGATGGTGGGATAGGAACTGCTGCCATCAGTTCTGAGACCACGGCTGCCTGTTGCTTTCACTATCTCCCATTCCCCATTGTCAAAATAATCCTGCTTATCCACATGAAAATCTTCCAGAAGGACATCCACCTATAAGAATACATCATAAAATTAGTAACAGGTTATCACTGCTAATGCACTGTGCACTTTCAATGAAATTTAGACTCACCTGTGAGCCGTCATAGGTCCAGGATCCAAACTTCATTGAACAGTTCTGGAGGTCAAATGGGAAGAAGGTGACATCGATGGTGCAGGCGGACTTGTAGTTGGCTGGTGGATTCCATGAAATGGTTCCGTTGTACTTGACGACAGCCTTAGTGATAGTTCCCTCAAAACGTCCATCTGAACTGTAGAGACAAAATAACCAGAGGCTATTTAGCTCTGTATTGTGATTACAGTTTTCTAACACCCTTAAATTATTACCTCTAATCTAATATTATCGTGTCACATACTTGTCATAAAGTACAACATCAGGAAGCCAGATCCTGTCTGAGGGAACACGGATGGTTGTGATGCCCAAAAAGTCTTCAGGGCTCCATCGCAATTTCATATCAACCCATTCCTGTACAATAGAGAATCAATAATTTCAGGAAAAAATACAGGTGCAATTTCCTTTACACAATGAAGACATTGCGCAAATGGGAGACAACTCTGTTTGCTTTAGCTTTAGAATCCCACAGCATTGACCTGACATATACAGTTAAAGTAAACAGGCTAAAAACAGCTTTAAATTGAACACATAGCCATTTTGGGAATAATAGATCATCTCATCTGCCCCTGCCATTCAGTTTCCCAATGTGGCATGACGTAACTTATCCCTGTGGTACAATATATCCAAACTGAAACAAAGCGCCGGGTTTAATAATTTATAAGATCCACAGGATCCACATATACAGCTGACAGGAGCAGGAGAGGGGATGGAGTGGGCATGGGGAAGCAGGTGTGTGGGCACAAGGTCGAATTGGCTCAAATAGATGAGAACTGTCAGTGAAATGCCACCAGAGCTGATTAAAAAATCCCCACAGAGGGACAGACTGCTTCTGCTTACCTACTGGGACTGAAAGCACTTTCACACACAAAATGGCTATGAGCACCAAATAGGTTCACCAGGACAGGAAATGAAATCCAAAATCAGTTATTTATGTATGTATTACTTTACTTGCCTGTTTCATCCAAACATTAGTTGTCATTAACTGGTTTTTCTCATCCTGAAAGGGAAAATCAAAAGGTTACTGACTATAACTCAAACCTTCAGAACCATTGCAAAGATCAGAAAAAATTTAAGCTCACCACATCAACCAGCTGGGAGATGGCCAACCCGAACTTCACGCTGATGGTCTGGTTTAGGTACTCCACTGGACGAACCCATTTCTGGTAGTTTTGAAAGAGGTATTTGAACAGTTTATCTTCTGCTTTTGCATAGGAGGAGAGATTTGGAGCCTCTGAGATGTGAAAAAAGACAGAAAACACACTTTACAGATTGAATATGAAATAAAAAATCCTGGATTTTTCTACATTATGTCACAGTTATGCCTGACTGCTTGACACCTCAGTGGTTTGAAATTGTAAATTAAAACAATTAAGAGTTTTGTGTTTCAATTTAATAATAAAAAATTGGCATGATGATTGCCTGCTTCCTTTGAGGAGCAAAGCCAGACACTAAGCTCTGACATTTTTCTTGCAGTCGTAAGGAAGAAGCTTCATGTTTGCATTTTGGTTTACAGAAGAGCCTCTCCCGCAAGCTTACATTTGACCTTACCCATTCATATTTATTTGGACTGGCATTGATGGATATTAGAATCCAAGTATTTCCCAGGATTTATGGAAAAGTCCACCTGTCTCCTCTACATTTGCATTATATTTCCCTTTGGTTCCTTCAGTTATTGTTAGTTTATTATGTAACTCCTATTCTGCTCTGCTTTTGGATTTGTTTCGGCTTCATTTCCTCCTTTGGATTTTGTGTATTAATTTAGCCTCCTTTAAATCTAAAAGCTCAAAAATCCAGTCTCAGGAAGTTGAATATTCAGTCTCATTAGAAATAATTTAAAGGCCCCTGCACTTTGCCTCAGCACATTAGTAAAGAGCATCATCTGAAAATCTTAAATAATATCAGACAAGTGCAAAACTAACCAGAACAGGGCAGTCTTAACAGGCTGGTGAGAAGAGAAGCAGTTTACAGTACCATGCTAACTCTAAGGAGTTGCAGAGATCCACAGCTCATGTGAGATAATCTGTCAAGAGAATAGTCCTGCACTCCCCAAATCTGGGATTTATACGAGCATGGTGAGAAGAATGTCATTTGCAGTACACCACAAAGCATGTAGAGGAAAAGCAACTTTGTACAAGAAGTTGTGACCAAAATTGAGTTCTTTGGGCTGCATAGAAAATTCTGTAATGCTATTATGTAATGTAATGTAATACAAACAAGTTCATATTTTCATGATACAGGACTATATAATATATTATATGACATGATAGACTCAATCTTATCAAAAATCTATGTGAGGACTTAAGAACTGGTATTCACAGCTGTTCTCCATCCAGTAAACTTATTTTGATTAACCCAATTAAAAATAGAATGGGTAAATACGCCTGTCTATATATGTGTCATGCTTATATAGACATCAGCTGTAGTTACAGCCAAAGGTGGTCCTGCAAAATGCTGAGTCAGGGAAGCTGAAAATCACATTTTTCTGAATTCAGTATCCTTTTCCTTCCACCTCAGAATTATGCACACTAGAGAGTTGTTTTATGAGTTAAAATCCAAATAAGATCCATTGCAGCTTCTGCAGCTTCTGACAACCCAATGAAAAAATTCATTGGGGCGTCAATAATTCAAAGTACTGCAGCTGAAAATTCACCATAATGATGGCCACAAAGGTGTGTATCACCAGTACAGAAAACATGCTCAGCCAGTGGCTGTGTGATAAACAAATTCTGGATCACCCTGTCTTCTTCTACAACATGCCATCCACGAGCTAGGCTGTTTCCTCTTTTTGGAAATGTCATTTGTGGCCTGAGGTACTGTTGGGGAAAGAAAAAAAAAACAATGAATAAAATCTGTGCAGTTTAATCTGTCAGAACTAAACTGACATCTGCTGCAGAGTAAAATTAATATTTAATGTTACCCACTGTATTTTGATAAATAATGTTACTGATCAGGAGTGAAGCAGGAGTAATGACATAATTTGATGGACGGCTCATTACAGATATGGAGCTCTTTAGTGATAATTAATATTGGTTAAGGCAGTCTGAATATAAAAATCCATAAACACAGAACTTCCCTGGCAGTTTTTATTTGTATTTACTCTTTCAGCTTTATCCATTCATGTTGTCAGTTGTTTACGTCTCTGCTCAGAACAGCTCTTAGATGCCTTGTAAGCCAAATAAGAACAAACCCATATAAAAAAAATCACCTGGATTTCATAATTAGGTATAGTACCTGATGCATTATATTTTGTACTGACAGAAAGCAATAATATGTATCCCTTTTTTCTACTTGAATAATTTAAATAAGAGCTTTTTCATGTATACAGTACAATACTTACGAAGAGAGTGACACAGGTGGTACCAGCACAGAGATGGAAGCAGCATCAGCAGCAGTACATGGAAAGTGGTCGCCTCTCCTGCTCTAAGCATCATGTCAAAGTTGAACACAAGCAGCTGGTCTCTTAGGCATCCCAGAGCTGTCCATAGTAATGAAATAAATTGAGTCTACTAAGAAATCACCTATTTTTATTGGCAATAACCTGAAGTTATCATGCCTACATGCATCTTCCACTGGCCACTGTACTGATGACACTTTTAATACAGGAATAGCACCCTCCATAAATCAGGAATGCCCTCCACCTTCACCTTGCAAACACAAACCTCTTACAAGAAATAAATGCAGTCCATATTACAGCATGCAAAGGCTGGATGCGTACCTGCTCTGACTCTTTCTCATTAACGCAGAATCCAGTGTGGCGGCAGATGAAAGGTGGAGGGAGTCCTGACAACAGCAGCTGTGCTGCATCGCTCTCCTCCATTCCAGGCAGGTTCTTTTTCTTGCCTCCCACAGGCGCTAGTGCACTCCCGGCTGCATCCAGTTGTGCACAGGCAACGTATTCTGTTCTCCTCTCACCCCTCCTTTCCCTCCTTTTCCTTCCTCACAGTGCTCCTCAGCCCCTCCACCACAAGCAGCATCTCTCATTCTGTGCTCTGAGAAATCCAGCCACTCATCACATGCAGTAATAGTCATCCTCTGAATCAACCAACCTGCTGCTTAGACCAAAGCGGTAAATTGTGAGCTCTGATTCCCATTACCATTACAATGTTTCCAAAGTTTCCTGTGATCCACATCTGCACAGGTATGATAAGACATTTTCTTTGGTTTTATGGGAATTAGAAAAAAAAAAAAAAACAATTGAGGTGTAAGTGCCATTTTTCAGGGAATCTTATTACAAATATCTGTAGTAACCCATTCTGTTGTGGAGTAAATGTGAAGGGACGCATCAAAGTGGTGCAACTACCAAGCATCTACTATTTCTAATCTTGAGCCTATTTCTGTGTTCACTAACATTTCAACAATGTGAGAAACTTCAAAATTCAATCCAATCTTATGCTGTTAAATCTGTGTTGTATACAGATTTATTACATACAGATGTATTTCAAGCAATTATTTTTGTCAATTTGGATGATAAAGAAAAACAAAACAGTTTTGACACACCAAGCAATGTGTGTTCAGATGATTTAATGCATTCCAGTTTAGTTTACAACAACAAAAAGGAATGGGATTGTTTGTTGTCGATGCACACTCACTGATGCACGTCTACCCTCGGTGTTACGGTAGCGTTTTACCGCTGTGTTGCATTCAAGTACACGGGAACGTGATTTCATTTAGAGATACATTTTTCCATCATTGCATGCCTCAAATAATGCTTCGCAAATAACACAATCGACGATTTGATAGTAGTTTTACAGTATTTTACAAGTTTTAGTTAATCCAAAACATGAACATAATTCACAATGGTCATTTTTATGCATTATATTATAAAGTCATAAAGAATATCTTTTACTTGGACAAAGCTTTTAAAGCTCTTTCCGTGTGATCCTAACCATTGTATGTGCTTTTGTGCATTAAAACTGTTTTACTTTCCAGTAATTACAAAATATATATTTGAAATGATCAGCAACGCTTCCTTGGACACTATCTAAGAAAGCATATTATTGTTTATAGATATTAAAGGATGTTATTTATGAAATATGCTACAGAATAGGACTGTGGTAAAATGCGATATGAAAATAGGGGACGGAATATTTCCATGGAATTTTCCTTCAACTTAATTTCCAAGTGTACAAGGCATACTTGAATGCACCATGAGGTTGTTTCCGTGGACATAAAACCCGGATTGTGCGCGGAATGGCGTAATAACAGGGAGGAACCTGCTAGTGGACTGGACTCGATACACCTGATGATTTCATGTTCGTATGTTGCAGCTAAACTCGAATTCAGTTGAAGTAAGACTAATGACGGTAACAAAGCAAATGATTTACATTTTTGCTGAAAACCGGAAAGCAGTAATTGCATTCTTAAATTCAGAGAAAGCTTTTCTGCTCTCAAGACTTCAAATCACTTTCATACTGTTGTTTATTAACATTTAGCTGGAGTTATTGAATTATGATCAATAACTACATGGACGTGACATGTACAGATAATGTGTGGTAGCTTTGCTTTGCTCACATGTTCAATAATCTGTATCACATCTTTGTTTTCTCTGTCAACTGACAGTCAGCTTCTTGTATTTCAGATGAAGCTAATCTACTGTTTCAGGGCTTTGGTCCTGCTCATCCTCGTCTCCTGATGCTGCAAAGGAGGACACATACTGGTTCTTCCTATCGAGGGCAGCCACTGGATAAACATGGATGTTTTAGTAAAAGCTCTGCACTCCAGAGGACACAGCCTGACTGTTATGCGCCCCAGCAACAGCTGGTACATTAAAGATAACTCTTCATATTACAGCACATTCACAGTTCCCGTGAAGAGGAGCTTCTATCAGAAGTTCATTACCAAAATCATATTTGACATCATACAGTTTGAGCGTGGGGCTTTACCTTTGACCAGTTTCCCTTATGCTTCGCTTGGGATGTTCAGCACTACCCTGGAGATTCATAAGGCTGTGAGTGAATATGTCTCAGCCATGTTGGATGATGCAGAGTTAATTAGAACCCTGAACAACACCAAGTTTGATCTGGTTCTCACTGACCCCTGCTGGGGCAGTGGAGCACTTTTGGCCAGATATTTAAGCGTTCCTCTAGTTTTTAATGTTCGCTGGATAATATCTGAAGAAGGTCAATTTGGCATCGCTCCATCACCATTATCATATATTCCAATCACAGGATCTGGCTACACAGATAAAATGACCTTTTTCCAAAGGGTTAAAAACAATATTTTATACTATATCATCCGAATGAATGATATGTTGGTCACTAAGCAAGTTTACCAGCCACTTTGTGAGCAATATCTTGGACCTGATTGTGACTTTGACCATTTAAAGATAGATGCAGACATCTGGCTCATGAGAACCGATTTTGTCTTTGATTACCCACGTCCCACAATGCCTAATGTTGTGTACATGGGAGGGTTCCACTGTAAACGTGCAGAACCACTTCCTGACTACATGAAGGAGTTTGTGCAGAGTTCTGGAGAGCATGGAGTCATTGTCATGTCTTTAGGAACATTTGTGCCTGCTCTCCCAGATGATCTGGCAAATGAGATTGTAACAGCTTTTGCAAAGTTGCCACAACAAGTCATCTGGAGCTACAGAGGACCCAAACCATCCACTTTGGGTAACAACACTTTACTGGTTGAGTGGATGCCACAAAAAGACCTTTTAGGACATCCTAAGGTAAAGCTATTTGTGGCTCATGGGGGAACAAATGGACTTCAAGAGGCCTTGTGTTATGGAGTCCCAGTAGTGGGTTTACCCTTGTTTTTTGATCAGTATGACAATCTGCTGCGCTTGCAAGTAAAAGGTGGAGCTAAAATTCTTACACTTGGTACAGTGGACAAAGACAACAACTTCTTGAAAGCCATACAAGAAGTCTTGAATGAACCGTCATACAGGCAGAACATGCAGATACTTTCCAGGCTGCACAGAGATCAGCCAATGAAGCCAATTGATACTGCCCTATTCTGGATAGAATACGTCATTAGGTACAAAGGTGCTGGACATCTGAAAGCTCAGTCCTATAGAATGCCCTGGTATGTTTACCACTCTGTAGACGTAGTCCTGTTCCTGATGGGTGCAGTACTGCTCACGCTTCTAGCTACAGTCATGTTTATCAGGTGTTTATGGAAATCTGTGTGTGGATGTAAAGTAAAACTTGAGTAATGATTAGACATATTCATTAATTTAGCACTATGAATATTTTCACAAGCTGGAGACAAGATTGAAAGCAGTAACATTAACTTGATGGACTCTTTGAATGCTTGTATTGAAACATATTTGGAGTCTAACAATACTACAAATGGGTTTTGTTCAATATTATATTGGTGGCTAAGAAAATGTCATTTTACTTTTGTATTGTAATCCAGAATGTCCTCATGGTATTAAATATATATATATATATATATATGCATACATGTTATTTTCTTTTTTAAACAACGTTTTCCAATTTGTACTGAAATAAATAGCATTTTAGTTACAAACTTCATTTAGTAAAGTAACTGTTCATCACAGAATAAAACATTGTGCTATAAAAATCTATAAATATTGTGCACTGGATGCAACCAATATTGACATAAATAAACAATATTAATGATAATACAGACCTTTGGGCACTTGAATAACTTAAAAACACCATAATATGTAGGAAAAAAACATAAAATACAGAAACCCTTCAACTGTGAGTTTGACAATGTCTATAATTTTAACGATATTGATGTACTTAGATTGATTTTCATGCTGAAATATTTATTGATATGTGTTTGAAATTTACACAATCTAGCTGAATCACAAGGCGTATCGTGCTGCAAATATATGAGTATCCAACACAGTTTCTAATTTCTACATTTCTACATTTCCCGAGACTGTAGAATGACACCCAGTACCAAGTCTCAGGCACTGTGTCGCCATGGAGAAAATATTTTCTGTCAGCCAGAAGGAAGCTCAGTTCGGTGACTTCCTGTGAATTTTCCTTTTTTGCTTCCTTTCATTGCTTTTGCACGGTTTTCATGTCATCATTGTTGTATGTAACAGCGTTTCAAAACCGGATTTCATCCCTAAACTTCATGAAACGAGTCAGTTAATTTTCATATCACGTCATTTGTGTTTATCAGTCTGTTCCGATTGTTCTCAGTTTATTACTGGGTAACACCGTTGGTAGGCGTGACTGGACTGAAGGTTGTGTGTAGCTACCTCATGTTTTTCATGAATGGAGATTATCCGGAAGCACACTGAAAGCAGCTTCCACGTGTGGTCTGGACTGAGAAGACTAACTGTAAGTAGCTAATTCTGTCTAGGTATCTATTTAATCTCCTGTCTGATTGTCAAACCTGTCAAGTTTTGGACTTGAGAATACGGGAAATGTTTATCTGACGGAGCGGAGCTGCAGCAAACAGAAAGGGACAGGGACGGACCCGGTCAGTCTCATACCTTATGTGGAAATAGAACCATTGCACTCCGAAAGTGAAGGGGGCGCTATTTCATATATTATCCGAAGCCTCCCGTTTTCATTTTATTTGAAATCTGATAAATTTTTACCTTTAGGATGGATTTTCACTCTCAGCATGTATTTGAACGACTCCATTTTATTTACTTCAGCGCAGCTGACAATTTTTAACAAGTTCTGTAGCTTTCGGTGTTATTCTAAATCTGCTCCTTAGTCACATCTTTTCGGGCTTGCTACTGCCTCCAGTGGCTTGTGGGTGGTAACACAACTAATCTAGTTACTAAATCAGGATTCCGTAAAGTCTTAATTATTTACTATTAATTTCGGCTTTTCTGTGACTGTAAAAGATAAACTATCTTATAAAACACCATATTTTTAAATTTCCTTAAGGATGTGGAGCTAATTAAATTACATAAAAAAATGTTTTTATACATTATAAATAATATCTATCTTCATCAGTTAGTTATAAGAGGAACAAAAGAAACAAGGAGACTTGAAAAACAACACGATCAACTATAATAAAAATACCATATGCAATATATACATGAGGAATTTAATTGAGCAAAAGTCAATAACAAACAAATAAAATAGGTCCAGAAGAATAACAGCCCAGGTTGTTACAACCAAGATTGTTAAACAAATACAAGCAAAAATTCACACTTTATATTATATTACGTATATTATTCAGAGAGACTTTTTGTTGGTAGAGACTTGTATATGGAAAAAAATAAAATGAAACTATTTTGTCCATCAACGTGGAAATTTTCATTCGACTCTAAAAAGATTTTAAAAAAATTATACTTATGGAATCACATTCTCAACATTTTGTGAATAGAGCAAAACACTTAGCAAGCCATAGGTAAATGTTATTATTAGTTTGGTTAAGAATAATTATTGCATTGTCAATAAATGGCTTCTAATAGATATCGATAGTTGTCAGAGGAACGCTTCATTTAACACAGTAACGTGTTAGTTTGTCAGGTTCAAACTGACAAAAAACAAGGATGGATGCTCTCTGCTAAAATATTTTTTGTCGTCTTCCATGTTCTTTCAGCAAACAGTTGAGACAGAGTTCTTTTTGGTTTCACCACTATTTACCTGATAATTTACCCACCATTGAAAGTATTCTTAAGAGATTGTGTATTAGTCTGCAGCTCATGTGACCAAACCAGCAGGAATGCAATGGTCCCATTTCCAAATAAGGTATGAGACTGACAGCGGTCCCCCACCCCCCTTTCTGTTTGCTGCAGCGAAGTGTACTTGGAAAAGTGGGGTGGGTGTGAAGAAAACTATTGTAACAAGACACAGTGGAGGAGAGGTCAGAGAGGAAAAATACAAAACGGGAAACTTGACAGGCACTCTGGAAACTGTTACTGAACATTTTTGCACATGAAAGCTTTACAGGGAGCAATGCATGTTATAACAGATCCCTAACGTGGTAAATCCAGTTCTGTCAAGACCTGTTTCCACATGTAATCTGTTCTACAACTTCAGATTTGTTGCGGCCCTCAAATCCCATGATATTCAAATAAGAAAAGCTTACATTTCCTCTGACTACATTTCAGCCGGCAAATAGTGTGTATATTTCAACTTTGGTCGTGATAATAGTGGTCTTGCTTTTTTAGATAATTATGATAACTTGTTTATTTGCTTCATCAATAGAAAATTTATAACAGGAAAACAGATTTATCTGACATAAAATTATTTCCAGCAATCTTTGAAAAATAGTTTGATTACTTTTTAAATAGAAATCATAAAACTTAAGAAATTATTTCCCAGAGAGAATTATAAGTTTATGAATGCAAAGATTATAAATCTAAAGCGACTTTTTCATCCTTTTTGATTTATGTAGATAATTGTTTTACTAGGGGAAAAACTGAAAAAAATATAGATTTCTGCTTTTATTTCTAATTATTATTCAATTGTTAATGTTCGAGGCCCTGTAATTGGAATGAGTACACTTTAAATCCTTTAAATGTTTTAGTCCTCCATATTTATGTCAAATTGAAACCAAAATACAACTTGTAAAAATGCATTTGCTGAGAAAATACACCTGAACAATGAAACTGGGAAAGTTAAGTGATGTTTAGTGATGAGCTCTAAATTCCCTTATGTTTAAAATGTATGAGTTCTGTATCACTGATTGCATGCAAACCATCACTATTATGTAAAAGAATATATGAGTAATTGAACTATTTGTATTTGAACTAACACATTTTGCATTAGTTTTATTCCAGTCAAAAAATGATTAGAATTAGCAAATTATATTAATTTTTGTTTTATATTATTGAAATTATTTACTGAAAAACATTTTTTCTCCATTTCAGATGAAGACAGTCTGTTGCTGCAGTGTGTTGCTCCTGCTCATTCTGATTCCCACCTGCTCTCATGGTGGCAACATCTTGGTCTTCCCTACTGAAGGAAGCCACTGGATAAACATGGAAATTCTTCTTAAAGCTCTACACTCCAGGGGACACAATGTAACTGTTGCACGAGCTAGCAAAACCTGGTACATCAAGGATAATCCCTTATATTACAACACTTTCATAGTTCCAGTAGAAAAGAGCTTGGTAGATGAAGACTTATTGAAAAAAATGTTTTCTGTCTTCATAAAACTTGAACAGGGGACTTTAACTCTCACCAGTTTTTTCCAGGTGATAATAGATCTGCTCGACAAAAATGTTAATATTTACAGTTCTGTGAGCTCATTTGTTCCAGCTCTTCTAGATAATGTGGAGTTGATGAGGACTTTAAATGAGACCAAGTTTGACCTGGTTCTTACTGATCCATGCTGGGGTAATGGGGCAATATTGGCCAAATACATGAATCTCCCTTTGGTTTATAACGTTCGCTGGTTAATGCCTGAAGAAGCTCATTTTGCCATTGCTCCTTCACCATTATCCTACATCCCTATGACAGGATCTGGCCTCACTGATAATGACTTTTTTTCAGAGAGTTAAAAACATCATTTTGTATCTATTGACTCACATGCAAAGCATGCTTGCATCTAAGTTTGTATACCAGCCACTTTGTGAAAAGTACCTTGGACCTGATTGTGACTTTGATCAGATTCAGAGTGATGCAGACATCTGGCTCATGAGAACCGATTTTGTCTTTGATTACCCACGTCCCACAATGCCTAATGTTGTGTACATGGGAGGGTTCCATTGTAAGCCTCCAGAACCACTTCCTGATCACATGGAGGAGTTTGTGCAGAGTTCTGGAGAGCATGGAGTCATTATCATGTCCATCTCAACATTTGTTGATGAACTTCCAGAGGACCTTGCAGATAGCATTGCAGCAGCATTTGCGAAGTTGCCACAAAAAGTCATCTGGAGTTTTAGAGGCCCCAAGCCATCTACTCTGGGTAACAACACTTTACTGGCTGAGTGGATGCCACAAAAAGACCTTTTAGGACATCCTCAGGTAAAGTTATTTGTGTCTCAAGGAGGAACAAATGGAGTCCAGGAGGCCTTGTGTCATGGTGTCCCAGTAGTGGGTTTTCCTCTGGTTTATGATCAGTACGACAATCTGCTGCGCTTGCAAGAGAAAGGAGGAGCTAAAATTCTTACATGGAGGGCAGTGGACAAAGATGATGGCTTTCTGAAAGCTATGCAAGAAGTTTTGAATGAAACATCCTACAGGCAGAACATGCAGAGACTCTCCAGGCTGCACAAAGATCAGCCAATGAAGCCAATCGATACTGCCCTATTCTGGATAGAATACGTCATTAGGCACAAAGGTGCTGGACATCTGAAAGCTCAGTCCTACAGAATGCCCTGGTATGTTTACCACTCTGTAGACGTAGTCCTGTTCCTGATGGGTGCAGTGATGCTCACGCTTTTAGCTACAGTCATGTTTATCAGGTGTTTATGGAAATCTGTGTGCAGACGTAAAGTTAAACTTGAATAATATTTGTGTCCTTTATGTG